GAGGCTTTCTACTCCCGTAAAGATTTACACCCTCGGAAACCCTGTACAGGGTCGCTATGGGTCGGAACCAACTCAACGGCACTTAACAACAACAACAACATACATGTTGGTGTAAGTGCCATTGAGTTGGTTCCGACTCATAACGACCCTGTATAGTTTCTGAGACTAGATCTTTGCAGGAGCAGAAAGCCTCATCTTTCTCCTGAGGAGCAGCCAGTGGGCTCAAACCATCTATTTTGTAGTTCCCAATCCAGTGCTTATCCTACAGAGCCACGACGCTCGCCACATATGCACACACACACACACACACACACACACACACCAATATATTCAAAATACTGTCATTTAAACATATAACCAACATGAAAGTTTCTAATGGAATATTTGGAGTCCTGGTGTGGTGCTGTGGGTTAATGCATCAGACCGCAAAGCTGTTTGAACTGCAAGGTCGGCAGTTCAAGCTCACCAGTCGCTCTTCGGAAACCCTCTATAGGGTCGCTGTGAGTAGGATCTGACTCAACGGCACTTAACAATTACTCCAAGTGTGGCGCTGTGGGTTAATGCGCTGTACTGCAAGATCGGTTTGAACCTCAAGGTTGGCGGTTCAAGGTTACCAGCCGCTCCTAGGAAACCCCCTACAGGGTCGCAAACTACTTAACAGTAACAACAGCAACAATGGAATATTAAGCACTGGACAGAAATGTCGGTTTGAACTGCAAGTGTGGCAGTTCAAACTCACCAGATAATCCTCAGAAACCCTATACAGGGTCACTATGAATCAGAATGAACTCCACAGTGATGGAATATTTGCCTTCCTTTTTTCATACTAAGTTTTTGAAATCATGCATATTTGCACTTACACACGTCTCAATTTGAACGTGTCATATTTCAGGGGTCCAGTAGGCACAGCCTACAATTTGGAAAACATAGGTCTATGTGCTACCTCCTCTGCATTAACTGATACGTTGAAAATCAAGCTAAAGAAAATTTTGCTTGGATAGAAAATCAAACAGAAAAAAACAAATCTCATATCTATATCTCCATTAGTATAACAATAGCATATACAGATTTTGCGCATTTTCAACAACAACAACAAAAAGTTTTTTTCATAAAATACAAAATTCTCCCAGAGTTCAGAATCTCAGCTTCTAAAATTTATAAAGAAATTGAGAATACAACACCTCCACCCCAAAAGTGTATCTATTCGATGACGGGTAAGACTGAGGAATTTGCACTGACCGCCTAAGACAGGCAGCGTCCCTTAAACAAACAATAAATAAGGGGGAATCTGATGCAGACCGTGCAGACCCGGTCAGGAGGTCAAGACCCTGTGGGCTCAAGCGTTGTTGACCATCCAAACCATAGGCTCTGAGGATCAGACTTTAGCTACCTAGTAGACATAGCAAACTGTCCCTCATCTGATTATTCAGTAATGCTTGTTAGTAATCTCATACATGAGCCCTGGATATCCACAGACAAATGTAAAAACCTTCCCTAAAAGCCGAGACTGTAAATTCCAAAAAGGCAAGTTCCCCATCCACCCCCCCCCCAAAAAAAAAAAAAAAAGCTAAAGAGGATAGAGAGAAACACTGTTAATTGATGATATATGGAGGGGATAATAATCAATGTAATGAAACAAGCTATATGAATGGTTGAATGTGAAGCTGATGATGTGCCCTGTAAACTTTCACTCAATCCAAAATAAAAACATTTAATTAAAAAAAAAAAAGTGTATCTAAATTTGGGGTTGATGATTTTAAATGCATTCTAAAATAAAGAGCATGGTTAAAGCTTTAAAATTCCTGAGATTTTTATTTAAGGATGTTGGCAGAATGTGAAAATTCACAAGTGGGGTTGTTCCTTGATGTGGGAGTATCTTGACTCTACCTTGCTTTAGATAAATATTATTATCATACTGTTGTTAAGCATGTTGAATCGGTTCTGACTCGTAGCAACCTGGTGAGTTTGAACCCCTGACCTTGCAGTTCAAAGCAATCTTGTGTTCCAGTACGTATCCTACAGAATCATACCAGGTTAGGAAGTAAGAGTAAGTATATTCACAGACAGAAATGTCACCTTCCTAAAAGGCCCACTGACCGAATCTGCTGGTTACTTTTGTGGTGGATTCCAGGGAAAGAATGACTTTTGTTCAGAATCTCTCCTCTCATTGCCTCCCTTCCACCTCCTTACACACTCAGAGGTCACTGTTGTTGTTAAGTGCTGTCGAAGTCACATCCAACTCATAGCAAGCCTATACAGGGTTTTTGAGGAGTGGCTGGTAAGCCTGAACCACCGACCTTGTGGTTCAAACCTACCTTTGGGTCCAGTGCATTAACCTGCAGCGCCACATCAGCACTTCTGGAGGTGGTGTTCCCATCTCTCTCATCCTTCCTCAAAGAATTCCTCAAGTTTTTATTTATAACAACAGCAGTTTGGCATCCTCAAGGGACTCAAATCCAGTCCCTTTCAATGTTCTTTGAGTTTGGGGAGCAAATAGAAGTCTGAAGAAGCAAGACCAGGGCTGTAGGGTAGATAGGTAATTTTTCCAACAAAATTCTCACAGGACAGCCCTTATTACCTTCTAAGAAGGAGCAGGTGCATTGTCACAATGGCAAAATATTCCTTGATACAACTTTCCTATCCTTTTTCTCACTCATGCCGTTTTCAATTTTATTCAAACTTCTTCACCATAAATTCTGATGAGATTAATAAAGTGATATTCATGTCCATCAAGAAAGTCTACCAAGATGACCCCTTTGGAATCTCAACACATAACCACCATAATCTTCTGAGGTGACCTTTGTGCCTTGAATGGAACTCACCCAGCAGATGCCCCCCTTGTTTGGAAGGCACCCTAAGGAGACTCCCACATGAACTTAACGGAGACAGTCTGACTGCAGCCCTCCACTGACTAGAGAGACATGTTTAAACATACTTTGTTTGGAATAAACTGTGCATGTAAGAACTGGAATCTGAGTAGCAATACTTTTGGACTGACCCTGGTAGTCTGGTATTTTATCTACTTTTATATTGTTTCGGTTTTCTTCTTCTTCTTCTTTTCTCCTTTTTCCTTCTTTCCAATGAGTACATACTACAAAAGGAACATTTTGTTTTGAGTTCCATTTTACCTATGGAATCTAAATGGGGAAAATGGCACTTTGGGGATATTTTTAAGATATCTCTTCTAGCTCTGGTTGGGGTGTTCCCAGCACCAACTGGTCACTCAACTGTTTGCTGAAATCATGGATTTCACTATCTCAGACTCATCAGAGGACATCGTTATTAGGGAATTACTTCATCAAGCTGAAGATTTTTCCTAAAACACCCACAAGAAGCCTGTTCCTGACAAGCAACATTGTTTTATACAGTAAAGGCTATAGAAATTCCAGCTCTCACAAGCTTCATTATACTTTTAAAGAAAAGAAATAGATTCATGGAAACACTTTACCAACATTTGTTGCTGTTGTTAAATGTTGTTGAGTCGGTACTAACTCATAGCAACCCTGTATAGGGTTTCCGAGGAGCTGTTGGTGAGTTTGAACCACTGACCTTGTGGTACAAACCGATCTTGCAGTTCAGTGCTTATCCTATAGCACCACACCAGGACTCACAAGCATTGCTCGTTGTTTTTCCTTCAGTATTAACATGAAGAAAATAATCTTAAAAACTTCTAGTATTTACAATATATTGTAATGGATGTATCTGAGATCACCTGTAAGATTTCATTTCCATGGGAAATAAGAACGTGACAAGTAGAAATAAGAACATGTTGCTTCATAGGAACAAATTGAGGATCACTGTGACTCAACATTTTCTTTATGATTTGGGCCTACAGGATATTTTTCTGCTATAAATTCTGCCGTTCATTTGGCTGCCCATGGTCTTCTTCCTTACTTAGACATGGTTCCTTTATTTACTAAAGGAAAAGAAATTGCATTTTTCTGAGAAACCGATCATTTTCATCTTCTTAGTCATGAAAAGTTTTAAGTTGTTTCTGTCTGAATAAAGAATTCTAAATGATCAAGAAACTTAAAATATTTCCCAGTACAATGTTTCTCTGAGCAACAGAGAACACATGACAAAATTTTTTAGCTTCTCTTTTTAAACTCTAACTGAAAGAGATTGTACTTATTATACCTAACCAAAGGTGAATGTTCACTAAGAACCAAAGTAAAGGGGAAAAAAAGCTATCTCTCTCTCTCTCTCTCTCTCTCTGTGTCTCTCTCTCTCT